TAAATAGAGTGAGAATGTCATGCGGAGAAAAGTACGTCTTAGCGCTAAACAAATAGCCTAGCTTTTTCCTAGCAGCTGCAGCTATTGACAAGATGTGTTCGTACCAGATCAGGTCCTCGGTCATCCGGTCTTTTGTCAGAGAGGAGGTCTTCGCTAGTCTTCTTTTTTCCAGCTCAGCGGCAGAGATCGGCTTGTCACTCTGAATTCCTGCATGTAGAGTGCTGTCATCAGCGAAGCTGTGGATTGGGTTGATCGTGCAGGAAAGGAGGTCGTTGATATGTAAGAGAAACGGTGTTGGAGCCAAGACCGATCTCTAAGGGAGCAAGAAGAAGAAGAAGAAGAAGATCCAAGTTGTTCAGTGTTCTTTGACAGGTTGTATTTCGGTAAAAAATGGTCTTATTTAGACTTTGAAACAAGCATCTTGAAGCTTGAAGATTCTAGTTTTTAGGTCTTTTAGCAGACAAATTTTTGGAGCAACGGTTCTTATGCAATTCTAACAGATAGTGTATTGCATAAATTTTGGCTTCTTTGTAGTATACGGGCTTGAAAATATTTTTCCTACAAGGCCATCATATGGATCAGATTGCGGATTTGTTCAGCCTTAAAATCCTGTTTTTGAAATCTCTCTTGAATGAAAGAGGATCCTCCTAAGACCTGATCGCAATATTTGAGGAAATTGTTTCTTGTTTCCTTAGTACTGGTTTCAAGAAGATCAAAAAAATTTACTTTTTGCCTTGTTTTGGAAAAGCGACCGCATCTTTGGAATTGCTATGAGAATGCGAATGTTTTTAGCTTTTTTATACCTCAACGTACCCCTAACAACCCTACATGACGGCGGATCGATCCATTGTACGGTTTCTACAACCGATTGGTCAAAATTTGGAAGAAATCAAAGCAGCAAAGGTTTTGTAACAAAAAAATCCTGTAATCTCGTTGAAATTTAAAAAGTCATTTTTCTTCTTTAAACACCTTCAACTATAAAAATAGTAATTGAAAAATATCATTTTTTTATTCGTAGAATATTTCATTAAAAACAAAAATACTAACCATGGGCGGATCTAGAAAATATTCAATATTTTCAAATTTTGACCAATTGGTCCGGAAAAAACATACAATGAATCGATCTGACATCGTGCAGGGTTATTAAAGGTACATAAAAAATCTAAAATTATTGGCTTTCTCATTAGCAATTCCGAAAATGCAGTGGATTTTCCAAAACAAGTTAAAACGTAACATTTTTTTACTCTTTTAAAAGCAATACTAAGAAAATTATAAAACAAAAAAGGTACCTTGAAGATTGCAATCAAATCTTGTAGAAGAGTGATTCCAGTTTTCGAAAATACGCTTTCCTTCTCTGCGCGATCGCTGGTTACCAAGATATCAGTAATCGATGACAAAAGAGTATCTTCATTCAAAATATACTAAGTGACATATAACTCCGAACACCCAGTTTAAATGGTTTTATTTTAATAAAAGTTGGTGAATGTATTTATCTTACTGTAAATAACAAGTGAAAAAATTTTCAGCCTTATCAGTTGGACATTCCGGGTTTTATGCTGCTTTTTTTTTTAATTCACTAACGCTCTAAAAATTAATATTTCAGCCGCAGTAAAGAATCAACTTTGGCGGATTTTGGTTCTTGACATCCTTTACGATCGGTTACGATGCCTAGAGTACGGAGACCTGGACGATTTCGTCAACTTAGTTAGTTTGATAGGGGCCGTATGTGGGACTTCGGGAAGCTGGACTTTCTTTTCGGGCAATTGCAGTTAGAGTGCAAAGAAGTGTAGACACTGTGGATAGGTGTTGTCAGGCATGGCTTCGAGAAGGCCGTACGCAAAGAGCAAGGGGCACTGGACGCCGCCGTAGAACAACAGACCGTGAAGATCGCCGCCTAAGATTATTGGCCTTAAGGGACCGTTTCACCACTACCAAGTCCATTACAAATGAATGGTTTGCAGAACACGGAAGACCTATTGGCATGCGAAGTGTTTACCGACGAATGAGAAGTTTTGGCTTGTTTTCATACCTGCCACACTGGGTCCTCCCTTTAACTCGAGAACACCGACGTAATCGCCTTGAGTGGTGCAGACAACGGTCACTTTGGAGTCAGGAATGGAACAGTATTGTCTTTAGTCACGAGTCTCGATTTTGTTTAGGCATGCACGATGGTCGTGCCAGGGTTAGAAGGCGATGTGGTGAAAGGCGGAATCCACAGTTTTTTGTTGAAAGACATGTTCATCACACTGTTGGAGTTATGGTTTGGGGTGCTATAGCTTATGGTTCCTGGTCACATTTAATCTTAATCAGAGGTAACATGAACGCGCAGCGTTATATCCTCGAAGTTCTAGAACGCCATCTTTTACCCTATCTTGACACCCTGGCAGATCCAACTTTCCAACAAGATAATGCCCGACCACATGTTGCAAGAGTCACAATAGACTTCTTTCAACATAATGATGCCACATTGTTACCATGGCCACCAAGATCTCCCGACGTATCCCCAATTGAGCACGTGTGGGATATGATGGGTAGGAGATTGCTCAATTTGCAACGTCCTCCTCAGACTCTAGAAGCACTTCGAGAGGAGTTGGTGGTTGCCTGGAATGAGATACCACAGGAGGACATTTACCACTTGATCAGAAGCATGCCTAGGCACGTTGGAGAATGCGTAGCACATCAGGGTGCATCCACACATTATTAAAGGTCAAAGTGCTTTAAAGCAGTGCAATCATTTTGAAATTTTTATCATTTACTTGTTCAGATTTATATGTCACTTAGTATATATATCTCCGCGCTAAATGATGGTATCGAGACTTTAAAAGCAGGATATTGACACTTAATAAACGAGCTATCTGATTCATATGATGGCCTAACAGAAAAAAATCCCAAGCCCATGGACTAAAAAGAAGTAAGCAAAGACTTTGCAAAAAATTTACTTTCGATGTCTGTTAGAATTACATGAGAACAGCTGCTCCTACCATGTTTCCATTAAAAGTCTCAAAAATTAGAATCTTGATGCTTCAAAATGCTTTTTTCTAGATACGACTATTTTTCACCGAAATACAGCCTGTCAAAGTGACACCGAAAAATTAAGATTCTTTTCTTGCTTCCTTAATTTTTTTTTAGTGGTATATATTGGTTGTAATGTAAAATAATAACGGCTTTGACCAAAAACTAATAACGGCCTGTACCAAAATCTGCGGTACAATAAGAAGTAGTCTAAGCCAGTGAAGACCAGGTAGCCCCTTAAAATTTTACACAGCAATGGTTGTACCTACTCTGCTGCTACAATCGACCGCAATAAATTTTTTAAGAGCAGCAATTGGTTGCAATCGGGAAAATCGTATACGCAATGTTGACATAAGAGACGTTGTATAGATGTTTGCAATTAATGACAAAATGGACTATCTACAGAAATAGTGCGACTAAATGATGGAAACTGGACGCATTCCTGACATGTCCCTTGAATAAAAGCCAAAGAAAAGTTTTTATATATTGTGAAACTGTATCAGGCCCTAGAAATAGGGAAATGCCAAATTTTCCCAGCAGAAAACAAATCATCGAAGTACACAAAAACATGTTAAATATGCATGGCTGGTACTTCTTTATGGGCGTCATGCCTATACCTTTGATAATATAACAGGTTCAGTTCCGCTATCGATAAACAACCCTCAATACGGCGATAAAATATTCAGGCTGCGATTCGAGGATTTACAAAATGTGTCCATAAAATAACTTTATTATATCATCGGTGAAGCTTTAATGCTACCCAAGATAAAGTTTGCAACTTCAGAAAAACAAATAAATTTCAAATATCCAACTTTGAAGGCAGCAATTTGGATTCCTTTGCTCAACTAGCAAAGTTAAAAATTTTATTAAGGACGCCGTTAGGACTTACGCATAAAAAACAGAATTGCAACATTATTCTTAGAATGATAGCAGCGATAATACAGTGAAAAATAAAAGGGCTTGGGTCGAAATGGGTTTATTCGTGTCACAGTAAACATCCGCAAGTTGCTTAGCAAGCTTTTGTAGCAGTTTGTAGTTTTTTAGTCTTATCACAACACATCAATAAAGTATAACGAAAGGCACAAAATTTTGCTATATGGTGTGCTGGTAGGATTGTTCGATGATCATAAATGATATCTATTCAGATAGAAAGTACCTAATGTACCAGAGACCTTTATAAGTAACTTACAAGACATAATGCATGGTTCTGTAACTGGGATCTAAATATCTAAACCATTCATTCCCAAAGTGGTCTATATCGACCCCTAGGGGTCTATGACAACCATCAAGGGGTCTACGTCAGCGAAAAAAAATTTGGGGGTCCATGAAATGAATATGGGGGTCCACGATAGTGGATCTCAACATATACACTGATAGTACCTATTTACTTACATCATACCATCTTATAATATCAAAACATATACATTATTTATAAAAGTACCTATGAAGTAAAAAATTTATTATATATGTTTATAAAATTGTGTAAGTTGTAGGATGTTGGTATTCGCTTTGTGGTCGCAATACATTTTGAACTTGTAAAAACCTGAGAGTCGCAGTCTCAGAGCTTCGCTACCTTGCACTGACTTGTTCAATTCGTCACTCTATAAATACGAATGTGGGACAAATATAGTACGTTTATTCGTTTCCTGAATCTTGAAAAGGAAAGTGCTAAGAAAATACTTTAAAAAATATAAACAGATAGTATATCACACAAATTATAGTGAGTCAGTGTTATTTTGTTTGAGAGTGCTGGAGAAAAGTAAGTAAATTATTTTTTATTAAATTTTAGTTTTGTACTCGTAATTAGCAAAGATAGATAAATTACACCAATCATGACTTTAGTTATTAGTAGTTAAATATTCAATCATGCAAAATTACACGAGTACTCCTCAATAGTTTCTTTTTGAAAGTTTTAGCAATCGGTAATATAATTACAGTGCAATCTCCGTAATTCGAGCTAATTGTTGCAAGAAGATGTTCGAATTATGGAATGTTTTCGGAGAAATCAAAAAATATTTTTAATATACAGCTGCTGGATTTTCTCGTTACTTATAGCAAAATCCGGAAAACCGCATACTATCGGAGAGAAGTTAATTTTGCCAGCCGTTGAAGAGGTTTTAAAAAACTGTTTTACACAAACCTGCATCTGATATCATTAAAAGAATTCCCTTAAGCAACAATACTGTTGAAAGACGTATTGATGAAATGAGTTCTGATATTGAAAGCTTCTTACCTAATTATTTGCAAACGACCCATTTCTCTATACAACTGGACGAGTCATCTTTACCTGATAATGCAGCATTATTATTGGCATATGTTCGTTTTATTATGAATCAAGAAATCTACGAAGAACTGCTCTTCGCAAGAACTTTGATAACCGACACTAAAGGAGAATCAATATTTCATGTTTTGAAGGATTACTTCATTGAAAAAGCAATTCCTTTATCAAATATAATATCAGTAGCTACAGATGGAGCACCTGCCATGGTTGGACGTTATCGTGGATTTATAAACTATTTAAAACAAAATGTGTCAGGGGTGTTAGCAATACATTGCGTCATCCATCGACAACATTTAGTTGCTAAAAATTTGAGTGTTAGATTGCATGAATCACTTCATTTAGTCATTGACGCAGTAAACCAAATCCGAAGCAACGCGTTGAATACGCGGTTATTCGCGCAGTTGTGTGAAGAAAATGACGAACACTTTCATCAATTACTCCTTCACACTGAAGTACGCTGGCTGTCGAAAGGCTTATGTTTGACAAGATTTTTTGCACTTTTTGAGACTATTTTAGAATTTCTGGATACTAAAGATAAAATTTTAACAGAAAATTTAATGAAGAGGAAAACAGACATCGCCTATTTAACAGATTTGTTTACAAAATTTAATATGGTAAATTTGCAATTACAAGGCGACAGTTTAAATTTGATTAAAACAAACTCCATCTTATCAGCGTTTCTTGCCAGAGTTAAACTAATGAAGCAAAATATTGGACGGGGCGAATTTTCTCAGTTCCCCAACTTGTCACAGACAAGCTGCCAGGAAGACGACGTTTCAACTTACATTCAACATTTAAATGCCCTCTGTTCAGATTTTGAATCTAGGTTTGAGGATATTTTGACTATGGTAATACCACCGTGGATAATTAATCCATATGGTGACATAGAAGAAACGAATGTCATAATACAAGATGAACTGACTGAACTAAGTACAAACGAATAACTTAAGGTTCAGTTTAAAAACAGATATCAGCAACTCTGGCTGCAAAACAACATACCCGTTACTTATCCCGTATTATGGAATATAGCGAGGAAATTTTTAATTTCCTTTCCATCGTCATACCTCGTGGAAAGGGTTTCAGCGCTGTTACCAATCTCCTAATGAAAAAAGAAACAGACTGGATATCATTAGCCGAGGAGATTTAAGATTAACCCTTACAAAATTGACGCCAAATGTTGATAATTTATTATTAAAGCATCAGGTTCATCCTTCTCACTAAAAATATTGACTTATTGCTTATGTTATTTTATATATAGTTTATTTTATGTTTATTGGTGTCTGACCAATAAATGCCCGCATTGGGAATAAGTGCCAGCATTGATTTTTTTAAAGAACCCCCCTTTATAGAAAATATTTTTTTAATTATTCTGAAAATTCAAGGACACACTAAAATTCGTTAATTTTTTGCCTAATTTTAGATAACTTAAACGTATAAGAAGCGGAATTTAATCAAACTAACAGTGAAATTATTGTAGAACATACGTTTTTGTTATAATTAATAAACGAACTCGCTTATTGTACTATTTTAAGTAAAACGCTTTTTTTTATTATTTATCACTTTTTTTTATTTTATCTCTCTTATTTTTTTTCAATGCGGGCACTTATTGGTCAGACACCTGTTCATTTAATGTTACGTATATTTTACATAACAGATACAAAATTTTATTTTGAGTAGTTTTAATTTAAATTCAATTAATAAATGTATAAATTAACATGTGTTTTTACTTTAAGTTTTTAACGCTAAACTTCACTACAGTTAGAAATTTACAGGAAATCAATATCAGGTAAGTAGGGGGTCTACTCAACACTGAAAGACATGGCAAGGGGTCTACGACACAAAAATGTTTGGGTAACTCTGATCTAAACAATTGATAATCGAAACCATATGTTACACGATATTAAACTTCTTATTTATAGGAGCTTTATCGAAATTTAGGGTGTTCTATTTACAAAAAAGTTGAAGAGATTTTCTATATCTTTTCCAGTTTGCTAGACTAACTACTTTCCATTTTCGTTGTATACGCCTCACAAGATTTATCAGTTCTCCAGAACAACAACACAGGCTAATTGTTTATTCTCGTTATTGTATTCGAATTCATAAGCACCCAGACCGCTTTTCGCAGCGAAGGTGTCCGACCACCGCTTGGCCCTAATGCCGAATAATTCTGTAATTAATCGACGGGTCGTTCAGACAATTGCTTTATTGAATTACGCTGGGGCTTAATGGACGGCTTAGACCCTTAGGCGACATGCGTTACGGACATTCGGGCAACTTTCTGGACAAATGGAATGGACGAATGGTGACAAAAAATTATGCTGCGTGGTGGTTAATGTGGATGATCGATCAAGTTTTGCCTAGCAACGGATATTCAATTCAATTCAATGGACTTTATTGTAACACATACATAATTATGTATCCTTACAAATGGCGAAGTCTGGCCAATGGCCATTTATACTTAACCATAAATGTCATGTCAATGCTTATTACTACCTTAAAAATAAAATAAAAAACTGAAAAAGAAAAGGATAAAGAAGAATAATAGTAAAAGAAGAATTAATAAATGTGACATAATGCGTACGATTAGAACAAAAAACATAATACGATTCAAAGAGAAGACAATAACCTAAGAGCTCAATAAGTAGTTCTTATATTTTTTTTTTTTAGAAAAGTTGCTGATGAAGCATTGTTCGAAAGAGTTGATCAATTTCACCGCATTATACGTAAAAGATCATTGAAAAATGGCTGTCCTATGTTGTGGCATTGTCAGGAGATTAATGTTGCGCGTATTCAAATTGTGTATTGAATTCCTACGAACAAGCTTTTGCATAAGATAAACCGAAACAGAAGTTTTTAATATTTTTACGACAAATGTAACAAAGTTGTATTTGAAAAGATCAGAAATTTTCAACCAATTCATTGAAGATATTGAGTGAGAAACATATTGATATGTTCAATGGTTTGCATTGTCAGACCGGTATTGATTTTGATTAATTACAAAAAAAAATACGAGTCTGACCCTGGATTCTAAAACCGCCCCTCTAGTTTTACATTACTATAACCCAATATTTCAACAAAATCGGTTCAATAGTGCCTAAGATATATTATATCAAACAAACTAACTAACTTTATTAAATAAGTTAGGTGCACTTGGTTTCACAGATGATGCTAGGGAGTTGATGAAATCTTACTTATCCGATCGTAGACAATTTGTTAGCTATAATGGCTTCCAATCTGAGACCTACTTGGCACCTTCTGGAGTTCCTCAGGGGTCCAACCTGGGACCATTACTGTTTTTAATATTCATTAATGACCTCTGTGACTCAGTTGAATGTGAACGCCTATGCTTTGCTGACGACCTAAATATTTATTCGCAGATAAATACTCCTGATGATTGTATCAAGCTACAACACCAATTAAATTTTGTGCTGTCTTGGTGTGTAGAAAACAAGTTGGACCTTAATGTGAGGAAGTGTAAAATAGTCAGCTATACCAGGAAAATTAATGTTTGCGAATATCCGTACTCTATTGATGGATCTGTGCTAGAAAGATGCTCTGATGTACGTGATTTAGGTATAATCTATGATCAAAAGTTAACTTTTAGTCAGCATATAAATAAAAAAGCATCAGAAGCATTGGCGGCTTATGGTTTGATGGTAAGGAATTGCAGGAATTTTCATAACATAAAGTCTATCAAGCTATTATATTATGCTTATGTTAGATCCAAAGTCGAATATTGTAGTATTATTTGGAGCCATCACTATGAATGCTATAGCACAGCTATTGAAAGAGTACAACGGAAGTTAATGAAGATTGTTCTGTTTAGGATTGATGGGACATATCCAGAGAGAGGTACAAGTAATGAGAAACTATGTAGTCGCTTAGACATGTTGACTTTGAAAAAACGTAGGTACTGTGCCTCAATAATATTTGGCTACCACATGATCAAAAATTTAATTGATTGTCCCTGGATCCTGGAACAGATCAAGTTTCGTACTCCAACGTTTGCATCTCGCAATGAAAAAATATTCGGGCTTCCTAGAGCTAAGACAAACATTCTTCTCAAGTCACCGTTATATGTAATGTGCTCTAACTTAAACAGAATTGGATGTTACTGTGATATATTTACGACAAATGTTAATTACCTGCTAAAGGCAGCTAAGGCTTATTCGGACCAAAAGCTCATGTTACAAATTTATACCTGTGTTGCATTTGTTGTTTCCTTTTCGCTTTTTTTTGCTTTTGTATTATGTTTATAAATTGTCCTATAAATGGGAAACTGTTGGACAATAAAGCTATTATTATTATTATTATTATTATTATTATTATTATTATTATTATTATAATTATTATTATTATTATATTAAAGGCCTGGTTTGTTTAGATAAATCACCCTGTATATCCTCAGAGACTGTATATCAGAAGCCGTAATGAAGGCAATATTCGCATAATGCATTTTTTTGTTGCAGGCCTCTCCAAGCTCTGCTGGACCTGCGGCTGGAATCGGTGCGATTTATGCCACGCATCGGCCCCTCCCTTCCGGTGGACCCGGAAACCGTGGATCCGGAACACGCCATGGAGCGAGCGAGCGATAATTTCATCGTTTGCGAACTCATGCTCGGCACAACGACCACCGAAAGTTATGCGGACTTTGATGCTAACGACATACAGTACGGGTAAGTGGGTGGGTTCAAGCTATCGGAAAACACTTCTGTTGTAGCACATATAAAAATACTTTTAGTGCTATGATATTAAATACCAGAGAACTTGGCAACTACGCTTTCTGGATAAAAGGTTATACAGGAAGTTTGAGAATATAAAAAATGCAATTTGTCGATAACCGCAGATACGACCTAGACACATCAGAGGTCATTTGGAGGTCACACACTTTTTAAATTCAAATTGCAACCAGCATTTAAACCAATTATGACCTCTTGACAACATATATAAAATAATATCTGATGCAGAATCGCGTTTTCAAATATGATGCTTTCTATTTGAATTTACAAAGTTGACCTTCAAATGTCTTCTCACGAAAGGCTCATTTCTAACCTCAATATCTCAAAAAAATTTGAATTCAGGTTATGGGCACTAACACATAAAAATGTTCAAAATCATAAGGAGAAACTCAAAACACCAAAAAGATTTTTCATTGAATAATGCTTGGTCTACTTTCACTTTTGGGCTACCCTGTATATCAAAAAAGTATATTCAAAATTTACCTTTTTTTTAATTCCTTATAATCAGGAATCTATGGTGGTCTTCCGTCAGATCTTTGACCCACCATGTACAACGAAGACTCTAGGAGTCTTCAAACTTTTTAATCCAGTTACTTTTTGTGACATTAATATTTTTCCCCTGTACCCTCCAATTATGAATTTTGGCTGATTGGACCGTCATGTCAGTGTCAGGCCGAGAACATTTCACCTTATCTTCGTAACCAGACAATCCAAACACTTTGTTATGTATGTATCGAAGAAAGAGACTAAACCAAAACAGTGATCATCATCATGGCTTAAACTATATCGAGATAAGCAATCAAGCAATCATTTTATTGGGTTTTTAATGCTTTCAATAGGAGCGGTTTTAAAGTGTCCAAAATGAATTATTTTTAGAAAAATGTAAGCGATGGATAGTTTGCCACATCGGTAATGAGGATGGATTTGTGTCCGATGCTTGATGGGCATTTGAGTCCAAAGAAACGGGAGACTACCATGAATAAATGGATGGAGCCTCGTTCGAAAATTGGTTCTCAAATACTCTACCGAAGCTCGAAGATAATTCGGTTATAGTATTAGATAATGCTTCATTCCAGACGAGAACATTCCAACAACGTCAACAAAAGAATCAGTAATTTAAAGATGGCTCAAAAATGAAAAGATTGGTTATGATGATTAAGGCAGAATCGTTACAAATTGTCAAGACGCATAAAAATAAATATAACCTATACATAATTAATGAAATGGCCAAAAAACAAAATAAAACTATTTTACGACTGTCTCCTTACCACTGTGAGCTCAATCCGATTGAGCTCACTTGGGCAGACATAAAAAAATATGTTGCAACAGAAAAAGGTCGAACCTAAAATGTGGGAATTAGACCGTATCATTGATACTTACGTTGCCCCTTCAATCATAAATCTTGATGACAGTGGGAGTTTCCGGCCTCAGATCTAGAATGATTTTCATTTTCAAATATACGTATTTCCTGGCTTAGAGGTAAAATGCGTGTGCAATAAATTTTTGTATAATATTTAGTATATATTATGTATTCAAATCCTTTTTCTTTCAACTCCACCTAACTATTCATGTTTTAGTGTAAAATTAAAAATAACTGCTTGCACGCTGATGTCCCTATCAAGCGGTGGTTAGGTATACTTGTGTGCATATGCAATTATCGTTTTAATGTGTCACGACATTTTATATAAGCCTGCTTTATAAATGCGCCTTACGACACATTTTGAGTATAATTGCTTGATAACACACTAAAAACAACAATAGACAGTTGTTTTCGTTTTGGTCATGACAGTTAAATTAAAAAAATACATTAATTCCAAGCTTTACGTTTGGACCCTATACATGCCTGCAATAATTTTGCATACTTTCTGATCGTGTCGTAGAACTACAACTCATTTATTCTTAGTACGGCCCTGTAACGTGCTCGACGTTCTGGAGCGCGATCACGTGGAGTATACGTGACTATGTTTAGGTTTGGTCTCTTATTATAGTAATTTTCGATAATAACAGTCAACGTCTAAGACCGTTTAGAGTACTATTGTGTAACAGCAAGCTGCCGGATTGAGTTGAATTACAGTTTACCTTTGACAGCCTGGTCACTACTGTGGCCGTAAGATGCCGTCGATTCTGGTGGTATAATAGATATGGTCTACTCACCGTTGAACAAACTAGTATCATAGCTTCTATGTGGTCTAGCTTGTAATATAACTGTAGACGAGTAACCATGGACAGCTGTTTCATACTTTTTGGCAACTCATCAGGATGGTCTAGGCAGACAGATGAAAGCTATATTACCAGTTTGTTCAATGGCGATTAGATCGCATCTACTAACGGGTGATTTTTTAAGAGGTGTAGGATTTGATTTTCAAAAAAAACACAAAAAGTTTGAAAAAACGATTAAATCTTTATTTGAGTCGATATAATTTAATGTTCAAAGACTATTTCATGTAAATGTTTGCCACGGCTCCGTTTTAGATGGCCCATGCGCACGGTCCAATTTTGGCACACTCTCTCCAACATATCGACCGGTATCTCACGAATAAATGCTTCAATATTGGCTTCCAGTGCGTCAATCGTTGCTGGTTTATCCCTGCCTTAACATGGCCACACAAGAAATAGTCCAACGGCGTTAAATCACACGATCTAGGCGGTCAATTGACGGGCCCCAAACGTGAGATAAACTGTTCACCGAACTCGCCTCTCAATAGGGCCATTTTTTCGTGTGCGGTGTGGCATGTGGCACCGTCTTGTTGAAACCACATGTCAGCCAAGTCCAGCTCTTCCATTTTCGGCAAAAAAAGTTTTTTATCATCGCACGGTAGCGCTCGCCATTCACAGTTACGTTCCGGTCATTGTCGTCTTTGAAGAAGTACGGCCCGATGATGCCACCGGCCCATAATCCACACCAAACAGTGATTTTTTCGGGATGCATTGGTAGCTCTTGCAATGCTTCTGGCTGGTATTTACTCCAGATGCGGCAATTTTGCTTGTTAACGTAACCATTCAACCAGAAATGAGCTTCGTCGCTGAACACAATTTTTCGATAAAAATGTGGATCTTCCTCCAACTTTGCCAGCGCCCATTCACCAAATTGGAAACGTTGTGGGAGGTCGTGTGGCTTCAATTCTTGCACCAGCTGTATCTTATAAGGTTTTACACCCAAATCCTATCGCAAAACGTTCCACGTAGTGGAGTAACAGAGGCCCAATTGCTGCGAACGGCGGCGAATCGACATTTCACGGTCATCACTAACACTGGCGGATACAGCCGCAATATTTTCTTCAGTCCTCACTCTACGTCTGCGTGTTGGTGGTTTAATGTCCAATAATGTAAACTGGGTTCGAAATTTAGACACAAGCTTCCGAATAGCTCCCTCAGTAGGCCGACCAAATTGCCCATAAGTTGGAAGCAGTGCTCGATGCACTCTCTTAACCGAGCATGAATTTTGATAGTAAAATTCAATAATTTGCAAGCGTTGTTCGTACGTAAGTCGATTCATGGTTAAATTATAGACCAAACTGAACAAGTTTGACGATGACACAAGACACGATTCACGCGTCATCTGTCAAAAACAGTGTTGCCAAAATATTACCTGAATTGCCGGCTTCTAGCGGTCACATGCGATACAGTTACAACAGAGAGCTTGCTCTTCCACTCGCTCAGTTATCGATTCTGGTAAGAGATGGCATTATCGTCTTATTCGAAAAGCCTTATATCCTGGATAGAGGATAGTAACCCTGCTTCCATTCGTTGTCCTAGCTGATACCTAGAACATGCTGATGAGTTACTAATAAGAATGGCACAGCTTTCCATGGTTACTAGACTATTCTTTCATACCGTCATAGATACTGAACAACGTATCAACGGATGTTTGACAATCAAATTTTTTATTCGTACTTTCAATCTCCTCCAAACAGTGAGATTGGATTCTGCTGTTTGCCAGTGTGTGAATATAATATCGATCCGGTAGGCATTTGCATATATGCATATTATTACATGATCCAATATCCGCACCGGTTGCGCCTTAGCTATTGTCTGTAAGTGACAAATCTTGTTAAGGCAGCTGCGGCTTTACCACGTTATTTAGATTTCGCGCGCATTAGGATTCGCAGGAAATTACGTATCGTGTTTTTCTTACTTCAATTACCGCGTTCGGGGTGGGTTTCTGAACATGAGTTCTTAGAATAAAGGCAGTCAGCACCGTTGTATTTTATTATCTTCAATTTGATCCAATCCAAGGTTTATTGAACAATTTTAATGCTCGTCATTTATAGAGGAAGGATTTGAAGGTTGGTGACTGATATTACTCACACAAGCTTAATCTGCCATTATAAACGGTGAATATTTTCTAAAATATACTAAGTGACATATAAATCCGAACACCCAGTTTAAATGGTTTTATTTTTATAAAATTTTGTATAAGTACTTAATGAAGCATAATAAGTAAATGATAAAAATTTCTAAATGATTGCACTGCTTTAAAGCCCTTTGATCTTTAGTAATGTGTGGATGCACCCTGATGTGCTACGCATTCTCCAACACGCCTAGGCATGCTTCTGATCAGGTGGTCAATGTCCTCCTGTGGTATCTCATTGCAGGCAACCACCAACTCCTCTCGAACTGATTCTAGAGTCTGAGGAGGACATTGCAAATTGAGCAATCTCCTACCCATCATATCCCACACGTGCTCAATTGGGGATAAGTCGGGAGATCTTGGTGGCCATGGTAACAATGTGACATCATTATGTTGAAAGAGGTCTATTGTGACTCTTGCAATATGTGGTCGGGCATTATCTTGTTGGAAAGTTGGATCTGCCAGGGTGTCAAGATAGGGTAAAAGATGGGGTTCTAGAACTGCGCGTTCATGTTACCTCTGATGAAGATTAAAGGTAACCTGGAACCATAAGCTATAGCACCCCAAACCATAACTCCAACAGTGTGATGAACATGTCTTTCAACAAAAAACTCTGGATTCCTCCTTTCACCACGTCGCCTTCTAACCCTGGCACGACCATCGTGCATGCCTAAACAAAATCGAGACTCGTCACTAAAGACAATACTGTTCCATTCCTGATCCCAGAGTGACCGTTGTCTGCACCACTAAAGACGATTACGTCGGTGTTCTCGAGTTAAAGGGAGGACCCAGTGTGGCCGGTATGAAAACAAGCCAAAGCTTCTCATTCGTCGGCAAACACTTCGCATGCCAATAGGTCTTCCGTATTCTGCAAACCATTCATTTGCAATGGACCTGGTAGTGGAGAAACGGTCCGTTAAGGCCAATAATCTTAGGTGGCGATCTTCACGGTCTGTTGTTCTACGGTGGCGTCCAGTGCCCCTTGCTCTTTGCGTACGGCCTTCTCGAAGCCATGCCTGACAACACCTAACCACAGTGTCTACACTTCTTTGCACTCTAACTGCAATTGCCCGAAAAGAAAGTCCAGCTTCCCGAAGTCCCACTATACGGCCCCTATCAAACTCACTAAGTTGACGAAATCGTACAGGTCTCCGTACTCTAGGCATCGTAACCGATCGTAAAGGATGTCAAGAATCAAAATCCGCCAACGTTGATTCTGTACTGCGGCTGAAATATTCATTTTTAGAGCGTTAGTGAATTAAAAAAAAAGCATTATAAAAACCGGAATGTCCAACTGATAAGGCTGAAAATTTTTTCACTTGTTATTTACAGTAAGATAAATACATTCACCAACTTTTATTAAAATAAAACCATTTAAACTGGGTGTTCGGATTTATATGTCACTTAGTATAGATAAGCTTTTTATTGGAGGGAGGCAAGTTGTTAGGAATCTCATGATAAAACACCGGAATTTAGCAACTCAAACCTCTACGATTTTTTAGATGGAGTATTAATCTTTTTATAACCCTCAATTTCAACTCTACGTTATGAACGAATTTTTATTCGCCTAAAAAAGTGCCGACTGCCAAGCAGCGCCATTTTTTTTAAACTCAATCCACAGAGATTGACCTAGTTCTCTGAAGGTCAGTACACGAAATGCTGTCATCGGCAGAACTGCCAATTGACCCACTGAAGAAGAAGAGAAGTCAGTTATGTGTAACAGAAAGAATATTGAAGCTAAAATGAAACCCACGTTGATATTTTGCCGTGAAGAGTAATTTTCTTGACGTGGTGATCGCAAATTATTCTAAAACCCTTGAATACTTTCCCGTCATATTTTGTATGAACTTTTCAAACTAATATTTTTGAAATATTGTGTAACAATGAATAAGCATTATTCTCTACTTTTATTCTGACAGCTACCAAAATGTTTCTCTTGTTTTGTTGCAAACATCAAACTTGACGAAGAGCAGAAAGTTCGAATGGTGGACCGCCCATCAAGTATCAAGAAACTCTTCCAAAGCTCGAACATGAAATTTGGAGCTTAATAAATTCTATTATAATATCGGAATAAATAAGCAAGGAATACACGGGATTGAATAACAAAATAAAATATATCACCCTTGGAAAGTATGGGAAGCACAATCATTGTCAGTTATTAAGATTTAAATTTTGTTTAAATGGAAAATACTCCAGTATTCAAGTATGCAGAATTTTTTGTGATATCATAAGAAACATTGAGGTGCCACACATTTTTGATGGGGTCTGGAAAAATCGGCTTTCCTTGTCTGAAGAGCTTACGAATGTGTTGTCCTTCAGACAAATATTACATAACCTCAATGTTGACTTTTCCAGATTTGAAGAGGACCAAAGAAACAGGATACTCCGTACCTACGTCCGCAATGCGTATGTCTACCATTTAAATGAAATCTTCTCAGCAGTGAAAAATGAGTATACGGATTGGGACAAGCCAATTCAACATCCGATCAACATCAGGGACTCAACAATGGAAGCTTTGAGTGACGGTCACACGGTGGCGCCGCTGATCAGGGTGGCGTATCTTCACGCCAGGAGGGGAGCCAAGACGTACTTTTTTCACTTCGGGTATCAGACCAAGGACAGCGACTATCCGCAGGTAGGGCATAAGTATGCAAGTAATCATTAGTATTATATCAACAGTGTACCTGTCACGTAAAATTTGGTTACAAAATTCGTACTAGTCGTTAGTCAACCTATGGAGAAATGGCGCGATGGCCATTCTGCTGATATTTGCCAAAATCGCTGCAACCCGCATTACGATAACATGGTTTGTGGGTTGCAGATCCGTAGGAAACTATATGGGGTATATCTTTGCAACAAAAATATGAGTGAAAAATATGATCAGGTGAAAAGATCGCGTTTGGTTACTTATCTGTACAACACAAGGCATTGATCCCAATATGTGGAAGGTATGTGCTGCCCATAAGCCGGAACGGGTTTGATAGCTAGCACGCAGTATGAACTTTGCAAATATCGCAACCTGTCAATGCATGGCAACTAGGTTAAGTACTGTCCACAAACTTTGATGAGCATGTCTAGCAGACATAGCTAGAAGGCTCTAAAATTGACCTGAGCACGAAAAAATCTATAAGAGCTTAATATTTGCGACTAACTCCCAGGACACCACTGAGTTACCATTAAGCTGGGAAAAATCACAAATGAATCATTATGGAAATTGAGGAAAATGTTCAGAAATACTTGGTTATTGGCGATCTAGATAAAGACTCGTCTCTTGAGAAAATATGGCACGTAAATCGCGAAGCTGAGCTTCTTGCTAAGACTCCAAGTAGGAAATAGTTTCAAAACGATGTTTTCTGTTTGCATTAATAAATAAATGATATAAGTTAACATTAAGTCTATTATTTTTAGTCACAATCAGATGGTTTCCTCAGGCAGCTAGCTTTACGTAGTGCATAAATGTGTATTTCTGCAGAGGTTTCTAACTTGTCTAGTTCTCTGAGCACATAAAGTCCGGATAAATTTGATACGTAGATTGATAAGACTTAATCGACAGAAAGACCAAAAAGTTCTATTCCTCAACTATAAATATGGCTTCACTACATTTAATAGTCCTTGATAAATCAAAATATTCCGAATTGAAAACTTGTATCTTAAAATCTTTATATTGAAAACGTTTTCTGTAAATTCTTACGTGTTGTCAATGTGGGAGCTCTTCCGATGACAGCACTTTACATACAAGCATTCAGGATTGCAAACCGATCTATGCTGCTGTGCTGGAGAGATAAAGACTAGTAGGAGTCCCTTCTTTGGCGAGAGATCGGATGTCCCAATGATCTGGATCTCTTACTATGTGAACACGCTTTGCACCTCAATGCTCTCATCCTCGATGTCACCGTGTTTTACCTCTCATTCTATAATTTTCGTACATCCAGAACTGGCTGGTAAGACTGCTCCTTTGCTCCTAGGATATCGAGATGGTTGAAACATTTGCTTCAGGAGGCTTTTTCTAGTTCTGCTAATCTTAGGCAGGTCAACACTCGGAAAAGCAAGAGTCTTTAAGCTCCACGAAGCAGTCATGGTGCCCTGGTATTTAGGTTTGTGCCTATCCACCTGCATAAGTTAGAATCTGGTGCTTAGATCGCGAATCTGAAAACCGACAAACGCCCAAAAATACCTATTTTTTATTTTCAAATAGAACTTTGTCACACTTTAGAATTTATTGTCGGCTATATTCATCGTCCTAAATTACCTCAGCACACCCAATCTCATTCGCGTTTATCCACGGAGGATGAAGATGAAAATTTTGCGTACCTAAACTTTGAACATTAAAAACATCGCTATATTAATTTTTCTTTGCAGCGTCTTGGTAGTGTCCGTGGCGAGGACCTCACTTACATCCTGGGCATGCCTCTGGTAGGAGGTCAACCCTACTTTCCCGCAAACTTCAGCCGGCAAGACATCGCTGTAGCAGAAGCAGTATTACTGTTTTTCAGCAACTTTGCCAAGAGTGGAGATCCCAACACTGCCCCGGCTCCAGCAAAGGACCTGCCGGATTATGGAGCGGCCAGGGAAAGGACTAGGTATAAGGGCTTGGTGTGGGATCCTTACGAGATCGGCACGCAGTTCTACCTCAGCATGAGTAAGTAGATGATATTTTTTTTCTGTCATTCCTAATCTGGACTTGAACAAAGTAGCCCGAAACTGCTCGCTTTTTAGCGAAATGGCATAATAAGAAACACCAGCCTGAAACAGGAGGATCTACAGGAATCTGTTGTCTCTGGATGTCTTTCCCTAGCTCCAACGGAATACCTGGTGAAGCATAACATGGTCGCAAAAATAATACATCAGGGTATTTGCAAAAACTATCTCATCTTCGAACATTTCAAGCCTGCATACAAATACGTTCCTTGTTCAAATATGAATCATCAAGTGTCATTATTTATTGGAATACAAGCATATTGACCAGTACATCGATAAATCACAACCGTCCCGACATACTAGTAATCGACAAAAGTAAATAGATTGCTTATATCATAGATATTGCGGTACCAGTTGACGAAAATGTACAAAAAACCTACATCGAACAAACAAATAAGTAGGAACTGCTCTCACACGAGATCCAACAACTATACAAATTAAAGCAAACATTTATACTGCCACTAATTGTTTCTGCCAACGACCTCATCCACAAAAACTTCCACTCAAACCTCAAAGTCTTGAAGCTTGACCTTAGCTGTATAAGGGAATGCCAGAAGGCAGCAATCCTCGCTACCGGTAGAATAGTCAGGAAGTTCTTCAACTAGCTTTGCATATGGCTGACCTCGGGATTAATTTTCCTGTCAGTAATGTATATTGGAATATACAGGGTGACTTGTAATGTCGCGTATTCCTGTTAATGGGTGATAGATTAGGTCAAAAGCAACCGATTTTGTCCTATAATGTCCTATCCAGAAGTTAACCGTTTTTGAGTTATTTGAATTTAATTTTTTTTTATTCCGATTTCAGTCGGTTAAATTTGAAATACAAAAAAACTACATGTTTAATTTTGAGTTTTTTCTTATCGTCGCATAGCGGACATTCCAATAGTTCATAATAAGTAATAAAATGTTGAAAACTTATAAAGTTTTAAAATTACGCTTTTGAAATGTATGATTTTCTTATATTTTTATTAACTTATTCGATTAAGAATGCAATTTTCTGTAAAAAATCTCCTACTAATGAAATGAGCAAATTATGTAAATAATATCTCTACCTAACAAGCTTTCATTTGAGGTATAAAAGTTACAACTAACTCAAGTACAAAGACATAAAATTAAAAAAAGATGAGTAAAGTTGTACGGACGATAATTACGTAGGATAAATAAAAGGCTTTTATTTTAATTACAGTTTTATTTAATTACATTTCCTTTAGTATTTTACAGATTCTGCTCAAATTGTAATCCCCTGTTACGAATACACGCCCGCATTCTCTTACGTAATTCACTTTTGGTAACTCTAATTGTTAAGCGGCTTTTTATTTGGTCAGCTGCACTGATTATCCTTGTAATTAATTCATCGCGCGTTGGTACGGGTGAAACGTACACCAGGCTTTTCATATGTCGCCACACATAGTAATCCATCGGTGTGAGATCTGGGCTTCTTGCTGGCCAGGCAATGGGTCCGCCTCTGACAATCCATTGATTTGGAAATTTATAGTCTAATACGCCCGTACTAATCTACTGTAGTGTGCGGGACAGCCGTCGTGCTGGAACCGCATATTTTGTCTCGTCGCCAATGGGACGTTTTCCATTAATGGAAACAAGTGATTTTTCAAGAACTCTTCATAAACTTCTCTATTTAAATTGGCGGGCAGAAAATGAGGTCCAATTAAATATTCATCAATGATGCCCATCCACACATTGACTGAAAAGCGGCTCTGAGACCCCGTCGGTCTTATTTTTAGGGGGATTAAAGCTTCTTTATCAGCCCAGTAATGAGCATTATGGTAGTTAGTGATCCAGTCCTTATCAAACTTCGATTCATCGGTCCACAGAATTTTCTTAAAATAGTCTGGATCTTCTGTATCTGCATGTAACATGTACCTGCAGAATTCTAATCGTCTTGCAGGATCGCCCTCTTCAAACACATGCACAGGCGTGTAGTGATAAGGGTATAATCTTGCAGTATGCACAGTAAACCATAGTTTGTATTGTGATATACCCAAATGAGCAGCCACAATTGGCGTAGATGTAGTAGGGTCTTCCTGAAACACACGAAGGATCTTGTCTTCTTATTCAGGAGGATAGACTCGGGGTCGTCCAGCATCACTATGTTGCCTTTGAACACGTCCGGTTTGGCGGATGCGCCGATACACAGAGTCAAACACAGTAACATTAGGTGTTCGGCGATTCGAGAAACCTTGCCGATATTCACGGCGGGCAGCTGCAGAATTGCCGTTACAAAGTCCATAACAGAACATTATGTCTGCGTGTTCTTCATTTGTAAAAGTTTACCCGTGCTCGCTATGGCGAGGTCCTGGCGGATCTTCTGCGTCTGCCATGATGATAAATAAATAAACCACCCGAAATTAACTGGGAAACTTGAAAATAATAATCGTGCGTAAAACGTGTGCGCGTACGCAGTAGTTATTATTATTATTATTATTATTATGATAATTGAGATGAGCAGAGTACACAGTACTATACTAGCTCATGCAGTAAATATAGTGTACGGACACGTAACACAAATACATCAAATAGAAAAAATAAAAAAAGACAGTTTATAGCTATAAAGTTAGTACACTCCTCCAGCTATCATACTGCACTTTGAAGCTATTAACTGAAGTAGCACCAACCACACTTTCAGGTAAACTATTCCAGGTGTTGAATATGCGGTTGGGAAGAAACCACTGTCGGACTGTTGTTTTAAATGGCTCCTTATGCAGTTTGAAGCTGTGTCCGCGTAGATTGCTGCGCGACAGACGGTATAGATGCATGAGGTTGGTGCCCATCAAACCATGAAGTATCCTGAACGTAACTATAAGATCGCCACGAAGTCTTCGCTCAGAGAATGAGGTCAGGTTGAATAATTCAAGGCGATCTTCATAGCTTGGTCTTCGTGCTCTAAAAGGGATACGAGTAGCCCGAAGCTGTACTGATTCGACGAGATTTTTATCGCGCAGAAGCACAGTGTCCCATACCGGGCCAGCGAATTCAAGAATTGGCCTCACGAATGCCTTGTAAATGTAGGCGCAAGTGTTGACATCGGATCCTTTGAAAGACCTCTCCAGCATGTATAGAAGTTTCTTGGCTTTTGATGTAACGTGGTGAATATGCTCTGACCAGGAAAGACGATCGTTGACTACAACGCCCAGATCATGTGGCTGGAAACTGCTTTGATGTTGTGGTCAGAGATATTGTATGTAAATCGCGGATTTGTCTTCCCGAGGTGAAGGACACAACACTTAGTTAGATTTAAGGGTAAAAGCCAACTGACTGACCATTGACAAACAATATCAAGATCTCGTTGAAGCCTAGCAGAATTTACGATAGTATTGTAAATCTTGGTGTCGTCGGCATAAGCTGAACATGTGGAGGAAATCAATGCGGGCAGGTCACTTGTATACAGAAGGAACAGCACTGGCCCCAAGACAGAGCCTTGAGGAACTCCACTTGCTACATGATGAAGGTGAGACTGGCTATCACTGTCGCGCACAGAGAAAGTCCTCCCGGTGAGAAAAGCCTTAATCCACAGTAACAACTCGCCTCTTATTCCCATACATTCCAACTAAAACAGAAGCCTTCTATGTGGTACGCGATAGAAAGCCCTAGAAAAATCTAAGTAGATTATATCAACAGGAGTCTTTGTGTCCAGATAACGAGTCCAATCGTTGAGAGAGTGGAGAAGGTTGGTCATTATTGATCGACCAGGGAGAAATCCATGCTGATTCTTAGGGATAAGGTCATTTTCGAAAGCAAATGACAGGAGCTTATCTAATATGATTCTTTCAGCTATTTTGGCGGCGATAGGAACGAGACTTTTTGGTCGATAATTTTTAGCGGAGGATTTGTTGCCCTTTTTGAATACAGGGGTAACAGAAGCACTAAGCCAGCATGAGGGTAGGGTATGAGATCTAAAAGACGATGTGAATATCAAGCTCAATGGTAGGGCCAGTGCTGAAGCGCAGTTTTTAAGTACAGCAGCCGTCATCCCATCTTTACCAGGGGAGGAAGAGGTCTTCAGATTTCTCAGGTGCATTAATACATACATCTTCAGGCAGGAACTCAACTTCGCAAAGGCTGTTGGGACACCTATGACAGATAGTGGTCGGTAGAAGGTCTCCATTAGGCTCATCGACGAAGTCATCACTAAAGGACTCTGCCAGTAAGTTGGCAGATTCGGTGGCATCCATGTGGAGATGACCGTCAGCGTCGCGGATCTGAGGTGATGAAACTTTGGAATTCAGGTTTGTTCTTAGATACCGAAACAGCTTCTTCTTATTTTTGGAGGTAACGAGTTTTCGTTCATAAGCATGTTTGGCATTATGTAACGTTCTAGATAGGAGGTTAGAAAAGGATCGATGAGACACGTAATCTTGTGAATGGCCACTCTTCCTAAACCGTTGCCACAAAGATCTCTTGTGACGAAGCATCCTCGATATGTTAGAGTTGATCCAGGGCTTTGAGGGGTCACAGTATACCTTCTTTTCAACAGTATAGTCAGCCGTTTCGCTTAGGACTCGTTGAGCGAAAGTGTCCCACATATCTTGGGCGCTAGGGTTGTTAAGCAAAGCAGGCCAGTTGACTTCAGACAGGGCTTGGTTAAGAGCATCGTGGTTTACAATTTTGATGGTTTTAAACTTATCGGTTGTAGAACGACTATTTATATTGAACTGGAGAGAAGATAAAAGTGAACAGTGGTCAGACTTGCCAAAAGGTGGCAAATAATCTAAATTAGAAACAAAGTCGGCGTCGTTAACAAATATCAAATCCAGAGCCCTAGGCGTCTGTCCTTCCCTGAATCTCGCTGGACGATCAACAAGTTGAGATATGCTAGAGTTGCGTAGCAAGTCGATGTAAGCAGCAGAAGAAGAATTGCATTCAGGAATGGTTGACATAGACCAGATAATGTCACGTAGATTGAAGTCACCAGCTATGAAAAGGTTGGTG